AAAAATGCCTCATTTATTAGTATAGGGTACCCAGTGCTACTTGAAGGAAAATACATGGGCAAAAATGCATCTTAATTCACAAGTAAGTATTATTGACTACTTCAATTTAAGCATTGATTACTTTTCTTTTGAAAGACTAGAGTGAAATAAGCAATTATAACTTTCACTTTGCACTTATTTGTAGAAAAGAAATTATAATTGTTTGTTCTATTTTAACCATTTTCAGAAGAAAAGTAGTTATTGTTTAAATTAAAGTAGTCACGGATATTTACAACACTTGGACTTCAATGAATCAAAAATTTACATAAGGAGAGTTGTGATTGGTTGTTTCATTTTAGTCATTATTAAAAAAAAGTAATTATTGCTTAACTAAAGTAGTCATTAATATTTATTTATTTTATTTTAAAATTGAGGTATTTTAGTTATTTCATAAAAATCATTAATGTTTGAAAGGTCCTTAAGGACTTGAGAAGAATTATAACATTTTATAAGATCTCATTTTTATTTGCATATTTTAAGGGGTTAAAATGTATTTTTGCCCTTATACTTTTCTTTGGAAAGCGCTAGGCACTTTGATCATTTTTTAGAGGAGTAAAAATTTAATGGAGGGAAATTTTCGCCCCGTTGAAAAATGCTTCACGAGAAAAAATACACTACTTTTTAATATAGGGTGCCCAATGCTTTTCGAAGGAAACTACAGGGGGCAAAAATGCATTTAACCCTTATATATATATTGGTAAAAATCATTTTTTTCCCCACAATAGAATTTCTTGGAGTTAAGTTAACAACCTCCCATGTTTGATTCTTACTCAAGGCCTTCAGCTCTTCTTCAATAGCTAATCTCCATTTAGGATCAGTCATAGCCTTATCAAAAATATTAGGAATATCTTTACTATTAATACTTGAAATCAAAGCCTTAAATTGAAAAAGACATACCTGCTAATAGAATGTTGAGTACAGCTCCTTTTGCCTTTTCTTAAAGCAATAGGCTATTGGAGATCTTCAGGATTGGTTTTAGGTTGTGAATAATGGCTTTTCCTTGGAAAAATAATGGGATTTTCTCTTTGCACTTGCTGTATAGGATGATTCTCCCTTAATTCATTCACATTAGATTCTAAATTATGGTCTTGGATGGTTGTAGGCGATGGTTCATGGTTGTTTTGACTTAGATTCAGGTCTAGTAGGGCAATTAAGGGAACATTCTGGTGTTATAACTTGTTTAGATTCAAGCAAGTCATGCACTATAACATGTGGAATAGGTTCAAGTTTAGAAATATAAACACCTAATAGTGTTTGAGATTCAATAGTTGGGTTACTAATCTAGTGGCTAGGTGAGTTGTCACATATTAACCATTCAATATCACTCTTCCCTTGAATGAGTAATTTATAATAGAACGAAAAAAGTTTCTACAAGCCAAACATGGAAAGTAACATAAATTTTTTGAGTGATTGGAGAATAACATTTATACCCCTTCTTTGTGGAAGAGTATCCTAAGAAAATCCATTTAACGGACTAAGAAGCCAATGTTTCACCCGAAGAAGTAGGAAGAGAGTTAATAAGGTGAGAACTAGGAAAAAAAGGCTAAAAAATTCCCTATAGGTGATTGTAATTGTAAGACTTTTGAAGGCATACATTAATAAGATATGTAGGAATGAGAACAACATCCCTTAAAAAATATTAACAATATTATTTTCTAGTAAAAGAGCCCTCACCACCTCCAGAAGGTGTTTATTTTTCTTTTTTGCCACCCCATTTTGTTAGGGGTGGTTACACAAGATTTTTGATGGTGTATCCCTTTTTCAATAAGGAAGCTTTGAAAGTTTGAGTTAAGATACTCTAAAGAACTTTGATAAAGATTTGAAATTGAGTTTGAACAAAAGTGTGAAAATTTTTAAAAAGTAGGTATGGTGATATATAAAAGTAACAAACTAACTTGCTTTTGGGTTAGTTGCAACTGTAAATGGACCCTAAACATTACTGTGAATAAGAGAAATTTGGAAGGAATATGAATTGAAGGATAAGAGGCATGAGTTTATTTAGCAAATTGGCAAATATCACAATGAAAATCAAAATTCATTTTTTTCATAGAATCAGGAAACAAAATTTCCAAATAATCAAAACTTGGATTACCTAACCTAAAATGCCATAACATAAAGTCTTCATAAGACATAATAGGAAAACAAGAACTTGAAGTAGCCATGTAGTCTTTATTGGTGGAGTTACCTTCAAGATAATACATCCCATTATATTCCTTAACATTGCCAATCGTCTTCCTTAAAGCCATGTCTTGAAAAACACACCTAAATTAGTTAAAAATAACAAGGCAATTTAACTGGACCTATACATTTCATAGACAACAAGCTACATTGTATGTCAGGAACATATAAAACATTTATGAAGATTATATTGGAAGAAATAATGACCGTGCCTATCTATAACCTTGACATAGGTATTATTTGCAACTTGAACACGGGTATATTTAGAATAAGGGCAAAAATTAGAAATTAATTCTCAAAACCTAGTGATATGATCCATAGCTACATAATCAATTACCTAAATATTATTTATCCAAGCAACAATACTTAGAGCAATGACAAGTTTAGTGCCTGTTTGAGCTAAGGTAATAGAGGGAGTTTTCTCATTTGGTCTTTCTTGAGAATATTTATCTAGAATTCTTCATAGGACAGTGAGGTCTTCATTATTTAACCTATCACTGTTAGAGTTACTTGCCATGAAGCCCTTCTTATCACCTTTAGATCATTGCTTTAAATGGGTTGGCTTCCCATGAATTTCCCAACATGATTCCTTAGTGTGACCATTTTTTTCACAATGATCATATTTATCAATGATCATATTTAAGATGCTTCTTCCCTTTTCGCTCTCCACCTGGTTTCCATGTGCCATCATGGCCGAAGCCTTTGAACTAGAGAAGGGAAGAATAGAAAGAGTAGATGAAGAGTTTTGAACAAGTTCTTTATGACTTTCCTCATACTTAATCATATCGAAGGCATCTATTAGATGAACTTCATGCTTATAATTTGTCCTTAAACATTTTTAAAAGTATTACTCAACCTAAGCAAGAAATCATAGCAATGTTCATGATCGACCACTTGGCAAAAATAAACCTCGTTTGTATGGCAGAACTATTGGTGGCCTTTATATCGATTGATCTGTTGCTAGAGTTGGATGAAAGCACCATAGTAGAGAGTAGTAGTTCTCTTCCCTCGTGTGAGATTATGAAGCATCATTTTCACTTGAAAAAATAGTTGCTGTGTTTTCTTTGAGATAATAGGTGTGTGCTTGGTTGACTCTTGAATTTCTCGAGAAGAATTAGAGAGTAAATAGGTCTCACTAATCTTAGATATCATTGAGTGAACAAGCCATCACCAAATTATTCTCGACACACCATGTTTCATATTAAGTATTAGCAATCGTTGGCTGCTTGGGGTTCCAGGTGAGGTATTTTCATGAGAATGTTTCTGAACCATTATAAATAATTGTTCTCGTTTAAACAATGGGTTACAATAGCCTAAGAGAAGGAATCATATGCAAAACTATATCCTCAAGACAAAACAAGAATAATTGCACCCTATGGACCTCCTCCCCCAGTCTCGCTCCTTGTTCTAGGGCCTCCCCCAGTGTTAATAATGACTAAAGGACCTTATCACTGATGACAAAAACCCTAAGTTAACTAAAGACCACTGCTTTGCACAATATAAATGAATTGCTTTGATACCATGAGAGAATACAGTGCATAATTGCTTATTCTCATTCAACAACAGAATTGCTCGATACATATATAGGGAGAGATAGATACATCTAACTAAGATGATGATGATCTAAAAACCCTAGGAGAAAAAGGAATAATGGGCCTAAAGGATAAAAGCCCTATTCCAACATTGTCGTGACATTATACAACTCCATTAACATCAGAGGTTTGGTAGAAATGGAACATCAAGCCCTTTTCTTAACAAGCTAATTGGTAGTTTGGCACACATCAATATTAATCAATCCTAATGTTGCAATCTAAATTAAGGAACTCTAATTTCTTCGACCATGCCCTCAAGAGATAAGTCAACAAGATTGTCCACAATTATTTTATTTACTGCCTTAACCACAAAAACCAACATGTTAAGGAACCAACCATTCCACTCTCAGTTATGCCATAACGTAATCTATCATGCCAATACTTTCACGGAACTCCTTTGATACAAGTATTTTAAATGCTTTGTTAATTTTATTTGATTTTTGATAAGCACTCATTCCAGTCCTATTTATAAGTCACAATCTAGAAAGTGTATTTGGTCTCATTTATAAATCAAAATGTAGCTTTTTATGTAATATGTAAAAAGTATTTTCAACATTACCCTTCAAAAGAGAAAAAATAGTATGACATTACTTTTTATATTTGTTATATAAGGGTATATTTAAAATTTTATATACTTTTATTCCTTATGTTTTTTTTTTTGCATGGGTATTGATAAGATTGATAGAAATAATTTATAAAAAAGATAAGAAGAGTATTTTAAATGTTTTAGACAAGTAAGCTTTTTGAGCAGTCTGAGCTTGTTACATGAAGAAAGAGCGCTCTGATCTTATTTCAATTGATTTGATCTAGTCTTTTCCACTTTCAAGTTTCAAGGCTAAAAATGACTTAAGTCAGACAATGCAAGAGAAATATTTAGATCACATTTGGTTACTAAATAAAATAGAATGAAATGAATTGAAAAAATAAAAGTAAAAATAAAAAATTAAAATGAATAGTGAATTGCATTTATAAAGGAATATAATAATTTAATTTATAAAGTTGAGAATTATAATTTATAAAATTTTTAAAGGGTGTGATGATTCTTACATTTATAAGATATAATAATAAATTTTATTATGCTTAAAGAAGAATGATGCTTTAGCTTATTTTTGTGTTAATTTTTTAATCTACTTCATTCCATTTATTTTCAATAACCAAACGTAACCTTATTGGCACTGACAGCATTCACGGTTTCAAGTAAAAATAAAAGTTTTTTAAATAAAGACACAGATCACAAGATCCGTACATGAGAGCAAGCAGTTTAACCCGATTTGAGGAACCAAAAAACTTAGAAACAACCGCGGAAATATGAACTCGTGAAATTAGCGAGCAACTCGTAAGGAAGGTCACGGCGAAGGTGCTGACTTATGGAGTTTGGGCCTAATTTCGAATCCTTGAATGACGAGGCCGCTCTTCCAGTTGCCCCCCCGGACCTCACAAACAGCCATTTCCAGCTCCTTGTCACCTATTCCTTCGTTGAAGAAGTCTCCCAATTCGATCTCGAACCATCCATCCGCTCTCTTGTTTGGATACTGCAGATCAAGATTCTCTGCAGGATTGGGCGAGCGCGCCTCATCTCCCAGGATACGCGTGCCGGCACGCCTGGGAACGATCTGTTGTTGTGTCCTCTGCGCTCCTTTTGGATCTAAATAGACTGCTCGCTTGCGAGCGTCACCATCGTTCCCGGCAATGCCGACGGAGACCTCCACCGGTTGGCATTCGAATCCATAGGCACTGGCAGTTAGGTTAAACACGAGGTAAGCGGCGTACAGGGTTGAAGAAGACAGCATGCGCGTGCTGATCCGCCCTCGCATTTCCAGCCAACACACGCAAAAAAGTTCGGCGACCTCCTCAAACCTGCAGGAATCGGGTTACTCGGCAACAAACAAACAGAATAGCAACACGCGACAGCGTTCTATTGACTTACCTGCCATCGGGCACCGAAGTCCACCTCCAATACCTGGGAGTGCATCCCCAGACAATAGAGAGACTTCTCGGGGATAGCATGAAACATTTCGCCCCACAAAATTTATCCACCCAAAAGCTCTGAATATAAACCAAGACAAAGAGGCATGAGACAGAATTGGAGTAAAAGAGGAAACAGGACGGCACTAAAATTGGAAGGGGAAGTGTGAATCAAGAGAGCAGAAGAAAAAAGAAGAGAAAAGAAGGGGGATGGAATACCTTGAGACCGTCGTCGATGAGGAGGGGATAGCGGGAGAGAGAGAGATAGAGATGCTTCTTAGAAGAGAAGGGGGGAGGAGAGGAAGAACGGGAAAGGAGGGAGAGGCAGTCGGGAGGGAGGAAGGAATCCCAGAGGGCGTCGGAGTCGGCGGCAGAACGGAAGGAGGAAGAAACACAGGAGAGCCTGCAGGCATCGCGGGGGGAAGTGAAGGAAAGGACGTGGGCAATGCAAGCTTCGGGGAGAGCCATGACAGCGTCGATCTCGGGTTCTGCTTCTGCTCATTGTTGCGGGGAGCGCCGCTTATACGCAAGGAAGCTTAACGCTTAAGTCTACGCCTGACCTTCCAAATTGACTTTTTCCCACACCTTTTGACTCCTCCTGCGAACCCCTTTCTGTGTGTCCAACTCAAAACTCAATGCAGTAACATTTGTTAATTCTGCCCGGGCGCCTCTCTGGCACTGGAAAGATATTCTTTTCGACGTGTTTATTGCCCCTTTCTTCGTGTGTCCAGTCCAGCCTTTGGTTCTCCACGTGTTCTTTTAGCATGAACGCGCGAGCAGGCACGTGCATATGGCAATAGCAGTAGCTGGCCAAAGCTCCTAGTTCATGCGCCTGCCCACTGATAACTTCCAAAATGATACGTACGAGAAGGCAGGAGAAATGAGAAAAACAAGGAGGAAATTGAAAGGAGCGGTGATGTCTCCCCACCTTTGTCGCTGGATCCCTCTGAGACTTGTTCCCAATGTTAACCATCGCTCACTCATTTTGTTTTGCCTCCTCAAACATGCGACATGGCTTCCTCCTCTTTTCTTCGCCCTCTTGTCCCTTCTTCCCCATAGCTTCTTCTTCCCTCACTCGCAGGGTCCTTCAATCTTTTTTGGGGGACCCTTCGCCCCTCCCCTTTCTTTAACTCCCTTTCTTTTCTCCTCTCTTCTTTTCTGTTTCTCCCTACCTTTCTTTTTTCTTCAATTTTCTCTCGCCTTAGATGTTTGCACCGCTTTCACTATGAATTGTTTCTCGTGTTTCACCTCCCAGAAAAGTAAGAAAAACCTTGGCGGGGGAGACCTTGAATCCGCACCCCAGGATCATCATGTCGCTTCAAAACCGCTGGGTACATTCCTTTCTGCATCTTAATTATATGTTAATTCAGGATCCCACCATATGGCTGTCATTTGAATCCAACGCACTTGCTCCACAATTCCTGTCCAACTATAGCATTGAACCGATTGGTTTATTTGTTTTTTTTTTTTTAAATAATAATAATAATAATAAAGATTGAAATAACAAGAGTCTCATAATCATCATGGTGCCGTTGTTGAGGAGGCAGATAATGGAAACCAAGGTCAGAGCCCAAATATTCAAGCGCAAGCGTTCACTTTCCGCGAGCTGGCCACCGCCACCAAGAATTTCAGGCAGGAATGCCTGTTGGGTGAGGGTGGATTCGGAAGAGTGTACAAGGGCACCATTCCGGCGACCGGCAAGGTCATCCCTGCTCTCGTAAAGAAATAGAGGAGATACGGATTCAATATCAATATTACTCACCTCTGCTATGCTGGTGGGTGCCGCAGGTGGTAGCTGTGAAGCAATTGGACCGAAACGGGATGAATGGCAGCAAGGATTTTCTGACAGAGGTTGCAGTTTTGAGTCGCCTGAACCATGAAAACCTGGTGAATCTAGTTGGTTACTGTGCCGATGGGGATCAACGTCTCCTGGTGTATGAGTACATGCCGGGGGGCTCTGTATACGATCGTCTTTTTGGTACCCTCGCCCTCCACCTGATATAGTTAAATCAAATTAACAGATTCATTTTTTCATGCCGTGTGATAATATATTGCCGTTGTGGCAGAGCCAGAGGAAGGCGAGTCTCCACTGGATTGGTTCAACAGAATGAAAATAGCGTCGGGAGCAGCGAGAGGACTGGAGTATTTGCACGACAAGGCCAATCCCCCAGTTGTTTACAGGGACTTGAAATCCTCGAATATATTGCTGGACGATGATCTTAACCCCAAATTATCTGATTTTGGGCTCAACAAGCTTTCCAGGGGAGACAGGACAAATATCATATCCCCCGGAGTTATGGGTACTTATGGCTACTCTGCTCCCGAGTACGTAAGGACCGGACACCTCACCTTGAAATCAGATGTCTACGGTTTTGGAGTTGTGCTGCTAGAGCTCATCACCGGACGACGAGCCATTGATACTACCAAACCCAACGAGGAGCAAAATTTAGTTTCATGGGTATGTTATCGCCTGAGACCTACTCGTCCCCTTGAATTCCTGCTTTGTTAATTTAGCATTTGGTGCAATGAATGAGCAGGCACAGCCCTTATTCAGAAATCCAAAACAATTCCCGGAAATCGCAGATCCGCTGCTGAAGAAGCATTTCCCGGAAAAGGATCTAAATCAAGCGGTAGCAGTGGCGGCCATGTGCCTCCAGGAGGAGGAAGGGGCGAGGCCTTTGATGAGCGACGTGGTGATGGCTCTGAGTTTCTTGTCCATGGTTCCGCCGGAGGTAATTCCAGCATCGGTGTCGCCGGCCACCTTGCCCCCACAGGATGACGGCTCAGAGGAGGAGGAGGAGGAGGGGGAGGGGGAGGGGGAGGGGGAGGGGGAGGATTCTGACGGGACGGGACGGAAATCAAGCCGCAGAAGCAGCATGAGCTGGGAAGAGGGAAGTGTGTCATCAAGCAAGAAATCGCGAAATTTAAACAAGAAGAAAAGCAGCTCCAGAGATTTAAAGCAGAAGAGCAGCAAGAAGGGTGGGGGGAAAGTGTCGAGCAGAAAGAGCAGTAGAAAATCATCGAGAAGCAGGAAGATGAGCACGGAGTGGGAGGAAGGTGGAGGAGAGGGAATGCACGAGAGAGGGAGCAGCACGATGTCTCAGAGAGATATGTCGTTTGGGCTCATCAGCAGCGGGGAAAGCGTTCGCAGCGACGGCGGCGGCGACTACAGCGACAGCGACAGGGGCTCGACGGAAGGGGCCCACCAGCGGCTGCAGCACGCCCATACTGCCAAACAGCCTCCCAAGGATCCCCACAGGGAACGACTCACCGCCTCTAGCGCTAAAGTATGATTACAAATCCCGACTTCCTTTGCCTACCGAGAATAGCCACCCTCGTCTTCCGCGGCACCTCTTTCATTTTATTTTTTTTCAATTTTATTTATTTATTCCGGGCTGCTTTGGCCGTTCGTGCATCACTTTCATCTCATAAGCGCCCCGCGAGACTGACGAAACACGGGTCCAAACCCCCCTCATTCGATAGCAACTTAATCTCTGGTTCTCCCGCATAATATTCTCGCCTGCTAATTCTCCATCAAAATTGTCTGTAACCACTTTAATTTATCTCCTCTATATATATAAGCACATGCTATATCTAACATTGTTATTGCACATGATATGGCTCCTCCAGTTGCAGAGACGAGATAAGTTTCGATGCATGGTTACCGTTTGAAAAGTTTGAACTATCAAGACTTTTGTCCTGTCATTTTTAAAATAGAGCGTCAACATGAGTTTCGAGGTCACAAAACTCCAATTTTGTAGCTCATATTTTCATATAATCTGAAGGAGCAAGTTTAGAGAAGGCTTAGTTAATAATTCAATCCATTTGGTGATAAATAGGGGGAACTTTTCTGGAGCTATGGTTGTTGATCATCCTTTGACAAGCTTTATCATTGTTTTTGCCGCTTGCACAATTTTCTGATGCAGGCAGGTTTAAATATATTTGTCCAATTTTCGAACTCGTTCTATAAAACTTCACAAATTCTTGGGTTAGTATGACGACATTTCATTTCGTCTTATCAATGAATAACTAGCCTTTGCACTTAGAATGAGTCATCTTGTTTCCCATGATGTTGTGGAGTCAAAGCGTGTGCGGTGGATGAGTTGGTTAAAAAAATGTCGTCAACTTGAGGACTGCATTTACCAGGTATAATCACATTCCATGAATAGCTTTAGGGTGGCTATACTATAGCAAGGATCGGCAAAACGCGCATTTGTGAAAAGTGACATATCACACACACGCGCGCGCACAGTCTCCTAAAACTAATTTATAATCCAAGCCTTCTACTTAGATTTTAATCAGCTGCAAGAGGATACAACAGCATTCTCATCAGCACTGCGAAATTATTTTTGTTACAATTAGAATGTCATCATTAAAGATCAATATCAATAACAGGACAGGGAATCAAAACAAGGGTACACCCAACCAGTTAATTACCCACAATCTCGATGGATCCTGTATAATAAATATGCATTTAATGTACAAGATGATGGTCATCAACATATATATGCGTACAAGTAACGTGTTGCTAATGCCTTTGTGTTAAGGAATAATCAAATCGATCGGAGGATGTAGAGTTGGATGTTCCGGATCCACTCCGATCCTGCGTTGCTTTCTGCCACTCATCCAAAACACAAAAATAACGGGTCATGTCTCACATATGGAAGTGAAGTAAATATACACAAGCATAATTAATCAAATACCGATTGGGCAAGAGTGTTCTTATAGGCCTTATCCAATTCCTCGAACACAACCTCAATGGTTGGGCGGCCTTTGCTTGATTTGGCAACACACAGAACTGCAATATGTAAGATGGCCTCAAAGTCCGCCACATTTACTTGTCCCTTTAGCCTTGGATCTTCAAAATCCGATGTTGGCCGCTTCCCCATGCTCACATCTCTCGCCTATAAAAAATTGCAACTTACAAATTTACAGGCCTAGCGCGCAATCCCCCTTTAAGTTTTTTGGTGCGTGCGTGCATGCATGCATGGGAATGCAAGAAATACATAAACAGTAGCACCCACCTTCCTAGTGAGTTGATCTCTGGCATCAAGATCTAACTCTATCACCTTCTGACCCGATAGAATTTGTAAGGCAACTATTCCAAAACTGTAAATATCACTGGCACATGTTAACTTGGCATTGCTCATGTACTCTGGATCCATATACCCTACGGTTCCCCTTACATCCGTGAACACTTGGCTCTCTTCCATCCCCAACATCTTTGCCAACCCAAAATCCGACAGTTTAGCTTGCAAACTCTCAGTCAACAGTATGTTTGTGAGCTACAATTTCAAATCCATATGTGCCATTATATCATCCCATTCATATTCACGTTTATTCTTTTTCCATAGATATATATATTAATCACGGGATATACAATTTTATACCTTGATATCTCTATGGACAACGCAGCCCTCAACATGATGGTGCAGATATTTGAGAGCGAAGGAGCAGTCCCGTAAGATCCTAACTCTTGTCTCCCACGTCAAATGGCTGTCTCTTCCTGAACACACACCCACACACACGATACATACGTATGTAATGGTGACTCATGAAATGATGAATAACAAGATGTGTGTGTGAGCATATATATATATATATATAGAGAGAGAGAGAGAGAGAGAGATCATATATAGGAGATATGAAGAGATTATACTCAAGAGATGTTGCGCTAGATTGCCTTCTGCACAGTATTCATACACTAAATATCTCTCCCCATCTTCAATGCAACACCCAAAGAGGCAAACCAGATTGGGATGGCGAAGCCTGGAGAGGCCCTCCACTTCCCGAGTGAAAGAATCAGAGCTGTTGGTTTTGTTCAGGTGCTTGATGGCCACCACTTGACCGCTGGGCAGAACCCCTTTGAACACCTGTCCCGCACTCCCCCTTCCCAAGCACTTCCTCTCGTTCCCGTAGTTTATGGCATTCTCTATCTCTGCTCTCGAGAACCAGTACATGCCCGACCACATCGTTATTTCTTTCAACGCCGCCGCATTCCGAGGCTTCTTCTGCCACAAACTTCCCACCAGTATTGCCATCAAGGCCATCGCAATCACCGCAGACAGCGCTATGAGGAACCCTGCCGAAAAAGCTACCACGCCAACAACACCTCCGTCAGCCAGCGGTTTTCACTTTTCACGAATCAACTATAATATAAATATAATATCTTGAGTTTGATTTCACTCACATTTGAGGAAGCCTGCAGGGTGATCTGGCAACAATTTTTTAAAACGGATTAATGAATGGGAAGGAGAGGGAAAGAGAGAACATTCAACATATAATACATGTGATGAGGGCCTCAGGGTGTTACCGTACCGTTAATTGGGGGAGGAGGCCAGCAACGCAAGAACTTGTCCGGAATGGAAGGATCGTCGGGTTTGCCGGCAGCAACGGAAACAAGAGCCGCCACACCACAAATGGCTCTTTCGACGGGAAGGTCCTGCCTGCCGACGAATTGGTTGTAGAGAGAGTCTCGGATAGTGAGGACGGCGGTGACGCAATTGGAACAAGAATCTCGAGAGGGATGATCGAAGTGGGCGCATTCGTCGAGGGTGCTCTGGTAGAACTGCTGGCCCTGAAGGTCCTGGAGCGTGAGGGAGGAGCACTTGGAGGCGCCCAGGTACAAGTCGGGGAAGCCGCAGGAAGTGGGGGACACGCCGTGCCGGAGACGAAAGGCGTCGGTGCAGGCGACCCATTCAGCGTGGGAAATGAAGAGGGAGCCCTGTTGGGGGGAAGAGCGGGCTCGCAGGGCCAAAGCCTGGGCGAAGACGGTGAGGGCATTGCGGCAGCAGAAGGTGGAGGGGAAACCGTCCCAGCGATCAATCTGATCCTGCACCCGACCGCACTCCTGGTAAGCCACGTAGGGGTAAGAGCTCAAATTGAGGGCGCATTGAGGCGCAGCCCGGGGGAAGGAGTTTTGGAAGAGCACGAATATGAGGGCAATGGACACCAAGTTCGGAATCCTCATATCCAGTTCCCTGGCGGGGCCGGCCAAGGTTTTTCCCCCGACATATAGACTAGCCTGCCTCGTCGGTATCGCCCTTCCATGGATATTCTGCTTTGCTCCGCAATTCCCAACTCTTCGCCCGCCCTAGCAATCATCGCTTTGCCCTCCTCAATTATTTTTCTCCTCCCCATTGTCCCTTTCCTTTCCATATCTTGAGCTGTGCTGTTCACCTTGCATGCTACATTCAGTATTTTATATTTCGGTTTTTGCGCTCTATGGCTCTACGTGTTTGGTTTTGTTTTGTTTTGTTTTTTTTTTTGGCTAGACATCTCAATTTATGACAAGTTTGTTTAATAAAAATCAATTTGACGGAAATTGTTATGATAAAATTTATATTTTGGATATATTTTTTTTAAAATTAACTTGATAAATTGAAAGTTATTTAAGTTACATTTGGTTATGTGGATTTAAGTTAAGAATTTAAATTTAAAATCATATTTAAAATTTATAAATTTTAAATTCTTTATTTAAATGATACAAAAAATTTTAAATTATAATATTAAAATGTTTTGTTTGGATTTAAAGTAATATATTTTATATTTAAATTTAAAAGAAACTTATGGTAAAAATAAAATAAAACAAACTTAGATGATGTTGATAGTCCGTTACTAGTCAAAGTTAACAGTCTGAATGATCAACTTCCACCAGGACCATACTATCAACACTGACTAAGATTGTAGCATTGGCGATGATTGGGATGGGATGGCAAACTTTTACCAGGATCGAACCTAAGTGACAACTGAGAAGAGACAACCAACTTCTACTAGAATTGAACCGACGGCGACGATCGAGACGGGACTGCTAACTTTCACCAAGACCTGATCAAAGGTGATGATAGGGATGAGACGGCCAATTTCCATCAAACAAGATCGACAATGACAACCAAGACGGGACAGCCGACTTTCATCGAGACCGGACTGACGGTGATGATTGAGATAGGACAGCTGACTTCCACCAGGACCAGACCGACACGATGATTGGGATAGGACTATTGACTTCCATAGTGACTGGACTTGTCACAATGATAAGGATAAGACAACCGACTTCGATTTGAATCAAACTACTGATGATTTGATCATGAACAGCACTAACAATCCAATCTAGGTCAAAAGAGATCGTTCAATTCTAGTCAGTACTAGCTATTCAGTCTAAATAAAAGTTAGCTGTCTAGCCCCAATTGATGCTATCGATTTGGTCTAGGTGAAACTTGGCTGTCAAGTCCTGGTTGTCACCATTAGTTTGCTCCTGTTGGAAGTCAATTGTCTTGTCTCAGTTATCACTGTTTGTCCAATCCCGATGGAAGTTGGTTATCCTATCTTGATCGTCGCCATAGGTTCGATCCCAGTGAAAGTCGTTCGTCTTGTCTTAATAGTTGTTGTTGGTCTTGTCCTGATAGAAGTTGGCCATTTGGTCCCAGTCTTTGCTATTGGTTTAGTCTAGTCTCAGTCATCATCGTTGTTAGGCCAAATAGGCCTAAAAAAGGAATGGGTCCGGAAGTAAGTTTGAGCCAAATAGGCCCAAAAAAGGAAGGAAAATGATGAAATGTGGCTATGTGCCACGTGCTACGGCATATACATTGTCCATCATGACATAATAAGCCAAAAATGGGAGGGGAAGCTTCCCTGTGCCATTTGCCTCTATGCAAAAAGCATCCGCCGTAGCATATGGTCATAACAAGCATGGCTGTGGCACTCTATGCCACATGCCATGACATAGGCATCATGCACCACAGCACATAGCTCATTTTAAGCCATATGTTACAGCACAACCAGCCTGCACCTTAACACATGGCCAAATTTTTACAAAAATAAGGCCTATATTGGCTTGTAAAATTAGAAAATGAAGGGTAAAAAAACATAGAAGGTTACCATTGCTCTATTAAGGCTTTAATTTTAAAAGATCTAGAGATATTTTGAAACTATCAATCCCTAAGAGTAAGTTCCCTAACTCTTTTTTTTTAACTTCCCACCCCATTTTTTCTAAAGTTAGAGTTTATTGATGAGGATTAATTTTTAGTCTATATAGATTAGGGGTCTAAACCAATAATCTCAAATGAAGTTAATAGAAGTCATTTAAAGTTTGAGTTTACATGTTTTTGGTTAACAAGCATTATTTATGTCCGTAGCATTAAATGTGAGTCTTAGAAGTTGTTGAGTGACATTAATGACCCTAAAAGAATTCAATGAAGGTAGTTGGGATTGATGGAAGTTAATAAATCTAATAGATAATTTTAGATACTGGAAATGAGAATTTTGGAGAATTTATAGAATTGAAATTAGAAGCTTAAATTGTGTAAATGGTGATAATGATGAGTTTGGACATAATTAATTGTATATTAATAATTTGTGTACCGATTTGAGCTTGAGAGTAAGCTTGAAAGTAAATTATTTGAGGGGTAAACTTTTAATCACTTAAAGGTTTGAAACAATTGAAGGAAATCTTTCCTATATGGTTATTTATTAATTGATTTATATTTTTGTAAATAAAATGATAAACATGAATGTTTAAATGGTATGAATATCATATGTGCAAAACATATGAAGTGTTAAATTATTTCATTTTGGTTATAATTTGAAGGTGTGCAGTTGAAATGTGTATATATAGCACAATTAAGTGTTCAAACATATAATTGACTAGTTGATGTGATAATGGTGTTATTGTAATAGCAATATGAAAGTAAATTATGTTTAAAGTGTAATGTCCACCTTGACATTATCAGAATACATAACACGAACACATAATACCGTTATAATAATTAAGATTAATTAATTCTTTATATAAAGTTATCATAACACAAGGATTTACAAATTAAGTTTAAAAGATTAGGGATTCCAAGAAACCTTTTTTTAAAAAAATGTTTGAGCTCAAATCATAGTTTAAAACAAGTGAAAGGAAGTAACGGAAGCATGGGAATACAAATTAAGTCATATGATGAATAAAGAAGGGCAATTTGGACACCTTCTAAATTGCACCATTTACTACCACTAATGGCTCAAAAAGGAGAGACCTTTCGCGGTGTAGTGCGCCATGGCGCACCCCTGCTGTTATAACAACACACTACTATATTGACAACATTTTAGGACTAATTTTTGGAGCGCTTTGTTTCACTATCTAACGTCCAATTTGAGCGATTCAAGTGTCCACACGTAGGTTTTAGAGCCAATCACTTATTAGCACTAGTACACAACCAAACAATTCCTTAATTAAAAGTTATCATTTTTCCTTTCAAAACACATACAAGAGTCCCCAAAGCCCCCCAACCATGTGCCAATAACTCTGGGACCATTTGAACTGACTCAAATAGATCACACTCAACCTAATTGAACAATCATACAATAACAATTATATCTCAAACATATATTGGCCCTTAAAACCCTTATTTCACATATATAAAGGGTTGACCATAACTATATCCAACAATACTGTATTTCATCAATACATATACATACTTTACCATGCTGTCACTTGTACTAATATCTTAATCTCTAATAACAACTTTATTACAAATACATCATCCCAAGCCAAAACCAATGTAATTCTTATGCAAAAGAACCCAAAGCTATTGTATGATCTTAAGTTAGCAAATAATTCATATATTATTCGTGTGTAGGCTAACAATTCTATAAAACCAAATCCATATTACTAGACCAGCTCAAGCTTATCAATTATGAGAGGCAGCCTCTGCCAAGAATGCCTTCGCCCATTATGGATCATAAATTCTCCATTTTCTTGAATACTCGGTGTATCATATGCCTAATCTATCTTAAATAGTATTAGGATTTATAAACAATAATAAGATTGTACACCAAGTCCTCTACCATGTCAATATATAATGTCCCCTGATAACTCTAGGGTGAACTATCACCCTCTCACAATGATTATGGTTAAGTATTTTCACAAATAAACACATATAAATTATTCCCAAACAATTTTTATAACAAATCATTTAATTTTGTGAGTATATTTATATATGCCTAGGATTTAGCATAAATCTCTTTCAAAACCCTAAATATGCAAACATATATGTATAGTCCACTTCACATAAACTTTTTAAATTTAAATCATTTTGCATACTAATAATATACTAATTTAAAACAATAATATAGTAGTTTTCATAATTCCACACAACCATCTAAACATATAAATAATAAGTTTAGATTACTTGGTTACCGCAACCCTTTTGTCACAAAATGATTGCCGTGGCAATTTTGATTACTCCATAAGAGCTCACTTGCTTAACGACACCGATCAATATTTAATTTATAAGATTAAACACTAATCATTAATACAACTCTAATTAAACCTCAGTTTCCTCAATTTTAGTATCCACTATACCTAAATTTCCTCTCTAATACAACCAACACTTCTAATACACTCCATTAATTTTATTTGACACCTAAACACTTAAATGAGCATAAATTTTCACCCACATTGCTCTCAATCTCCTAAATTTCACTTAGGCTTCGTCCAAACACTAAAAAAATCTTAAATCTTTAAAAAAACCTCAACCTTAGGTTTAGAAATTTAATTTAACTTCTCAAGACTCTAGGTAAGCCAATGGATTTGGTCAAAACCTAAGGGAAACCAAATCAAGCCCTAACTATTTAAATCTATTAAAAATTTTGTGTAAAAGGAGGAAGGAGTAAAGAGAAACTTACCCAAGGATGATTCTTGCTTAAAATGTCTTTAAAGACCTAAAAAATGATTTCTAATAGAGACAAGATGGTCCCTCTTCATTTCTTCCTTCCTTCCTTCTTTCTTTTCCGTATGCAAAAGCCCAATTTAACTAAAATTCAGGCTTATCCACCGTGGTGGATGGCACAGTAAAGCCCGGATAAATCTAGGCCTTACACCTAGGCCTAATTGATCTATACGCCATCTTAATCCATTTTCAAGATTATCTAAAGGTCCAAAAACTTCATTACTAGCTTGAAATATTATTAACTCATAAATCACTTAATTATACTAATTTATCCCTTTTAAAACACCTAAATTTGAAAGTTTGAATTTCAAGGATGTTACATAAAGTGGAGAATATGAAAATAAGACATGCGATTGGGAAAAGAAGTGGAGTATGATATATGAAAATGTTTATAATGCTCACATATGATAGTTTATTATGTAAATCAAATAAGCGAGTATTTGTATATGAGTACATATTAAATATGTGAGGATGAGCTGATTGCATGATCATATAACAAGAGTTTGCCTAGGAAGAGGAATAGATAAATCCACAAGATATTATATGGCCATATTTTAGTAATTAAAAGCAATCCTTATCCCATTATTTATTGAGAGACTGTCCCATTATTTACTAAGGGATTTGAACCTAATTATCTCTACCTGTTTGTCAAGAAGACTAGCTTAGGGTTTATGACACCTCAAGAATTTGAGAAGGGAGAATTCGTGGTTTGAGAATAAGTATGGTGATCTTTAACTGGGTTACTCCTCATGATTGGTGAGTTTGAGTAGTACATTCACACAAACGAGGCCCTACTTGTATTAGAGCCTACGATTTTAGTTGGTAAATATAATAAGAATATAAGGGTGGCTCGATCATGCATATTATCTGACATGTCACATAATTGTTAAATTTGTAATAAGTCATGATTATTGAATTGCCTTTGTCACATAGTTGTTAATATTGTGATAATGAGCATTTTGATGTAATTATGTAATGAATGATGATTTTACATGTATGTAATATAAAAGAAGCATGCTCTGTGGTCATGTAATTGTATTTCATATGCATTATGTTTAATATCAATTAATACATATAATAGACATACTTTTATTACTGCATCTTTGTACTCAACCTTCTTTCTTAACATTTTACGGGTTCTAACTCGGGTGTTGAAAAGAAAAAATCCTTAAAGGTTTGGCAATTTATCATTCATATTGTAATTCCTCCATTTTCATTAGTTTATGTATAAATTTAAGGTATTGCCAACTAGGGACATGATTTGGACATAAACTTATACTATTTTTTTACATGATTAAGGTGGTTGTATTTTGGGCCCTAAGGTTTTGTGTATGTCATGTGTTGATCTATATAGGACTAAAATACTAGTACAGGTATAGGAATGAAATATATTACTCATCATGCATAGATATTGATTTAATGCAACTGCTAGATCTCCCTATTTTGTTTTTGAATATTAAGGGGTTGAAATGTGAATACATGATATATGTTATATGTTAGATGTGGTATGTTGCACAGGTGGTCTCAAATCCATTAGGTGTGATCTGGATGTTATGGACAGCTTTTAGCACACAATTTGGGTTTTAGACACAATTTTTATGTGTAAATACGAAAATGTGTTGAAAATACATTTAGGTGTCCACTTCTTTTATGTGAATTTATTTAAAAGTAAAACCTATATCATTAGCTAGAGCATTAAAAGAGCTTTTTATATTAAATCACCCCAATCAAACATTTAACAAAGAAATAGGAAGTCAAAAATTCACTCCACTATTATCAAGCTATGCAATGCACCATGGTGCATGACACAGCGTAGAGTGTGCCATGGCTCACCCCCTTGTTTTTGTGTTGTTGTGTCATTTTCAAAAAAAAAATGCACATACTTTGAACCTTTTTGGTATCTCATGCTTCTGTAATCATATTTTGATTTTAGTTTACTAAATGATGTTTAAGCATTTTTCTAAGTTTGAAAACTTGAGATTTTATTTATGTAAATATTATAAACTTGATAATCCAATTGGGTTAGTCCAATGTTTACCTTGATTTTGGAATAAATTATATATTAGTAAGGGCAAACTCCAACAAAAAATGATCATGTAATGCATCAGGCTAATACTTGTACTATGCCATAAATTGTGGTACCATGCTTAAGCCATAATTTAGCATTCACCATGCTATTATTGACTAATCATTATCTCATCTCACATAATCATCTTCTTATTAAGTAATCACATATCACCACATTATATTCATTTGCACACATACCTCATTTCAAAAATCAACATAGATATAGATATGACTTTCACAACAATACTCTCTCATATGAGCCATATTTAATTGAGGGTTATCTCTATGTCAAATCCCCTTATTAGCGCTTAATTGTTAAATCATGCCTTAACCAATATTATATTCATAAATAATTCCAAATACCCTAATTGCATTTACTCAATTCAAAACATGCATTATATCATAACAATTATACAAATAATTCCACATGTTCAAAAATACATTTTGATAGTTCTTCAATCAATTATCAAACAAATGCATAATACTTTAAAAGATCAAAGGTTTTTCCCTTAAATATTACTTGCTTCCAAGGCTAGTTACTTGCCTAATCGGTGCACGAGATGATTAATATATAATTAATCATGCCAAACACTATTAATATCAACATAACCGTACTTCCAGTTCTCACATTTAACACTATAACTACCCCTAAAACTCACACCCATAAACGTTTACACATATTCATTAGGTATATTAACTTCCAACAACTCTAACCAACTTCATTAAACTCCTAAAAGACCATTAATGGCTACCATTACTTCGAACCATCTCATTTATGGCCCTCCAACAACCCAAATTCATCCATTAATGAGAGCTCGTTCTCATAAACACACAAAATCATTAATACTAGATTTAAATAGCTTAAATAACTCTTATTAACTTTATTTAAGTCAATGAGTTCAAGCCTAAAGCTCCTAAGGTACCAAAATCATCTTTCAACTATAAACTCTAACTTAAAAATTAGTTAAAAAGGAAGAGGAAAGAAGGGGAAAAGTATAGAAAGCTTAACCTTGGTGTTTGCCAGCTCCATAATGCTCCTAAACCTTTGAAACTCCAAGCCTTAACAAAGAGAATCACGTGCCTCCTCTCCATCTCATTCTCCCTCTCTATTTTTCTGCATTTTTCAACTATTTAAATGTAATTCTTTCATTTCAATCACTAATGGTTTTCCCTTTACAAAACACATCCGCACACAATTAAAGCCATTTACCCTAGATTTATCCTCACTATCTTTGACCGCGACTAGTTGTCTCAAATGTTAATCTCAACCATGAACGACTGTGATAGAAGAGCACATTCTTCTTTCAAGGATATTCAACCATGATCGATCATTTTTGGTGAAAGACACAACTGCAGATGATTGTGGATAGAGAATATACTCTACTCCTATAAGTGTTCATTCGCTCGTGGTGATCCCCTTTAGGTTACAATTGTGAATGACTGTAGATAGAAACTAATTCACTCTTAAACCTCAATTCTTGCTCCACATCACTCTTAACTAATTTCTTTCTCTGTCTAATACTTCTAATTAAAATTTTTAGGATGGTAAATGTGCACAAGACATGCCAACAACTTTTTCCCACCTATTCTTGTTATCAAAAACAAAATACCTAAAACATTGTTTTGGCAGTAATTTTTTAAAACTTTTTTAGGGGATAAATCATAAACTCGCCGCTGAGAGTATTTCAGCCATCCAGTGGGCCGTAGCGGTGTGAAACAGACCAGATGGCAGATGGGGCTACGACAAAGCAAGAGTGGCGTCTTCGTTGTGTTCGAGAACACCGAGCAGGCTTTGATCAAACTGAAGCCCAGGTCTCGTCGGAGTGTCGGACACGCCATGAAAAAAATTGTTCAAAATTACCACCAATTGGAACTAGCGACGTGTACCTTCCCGTTACCGTTACGGGTCTGTTTACGGTCCACACGATGTTCTTATCCGCGAGCTCGTGCGACGGCGCGTCTTCTTTCTCCCACTCCCCCCCTGCTATGTTCCATGACGCCCTTGTCTCTCGAAGTGCTCCGTCGTCTTCCTCATTCCATTCCATCCGCTACGACATAAGGCATGTTTTTCTCTCTTTCTGCATTTCGTCAATTCATTTATTCCGAGGTTCAATACAAATGATGGCAAATCATTGGTTGCTGCCCAATTTATGTTTCTGTTTAGCATACCCATTAAATTCATCTGCATTCATTCAGTTCTACTCGGAGAAATGACTTGATGGCAGAAGCTATTCACGACCCCCTTTGATGATTGTTCTTGCAAATTATTCCGTGTTCTTTCTCAGGTCATTTTTGTAAGCCAAATCATGGCGTTGGCCGCACGCTCGATGTTTTTATTCCATCGGGGAGGCCGTGCCAATATATGCATCGGATTGGGCCTGACAGGTGATAAGAGGGTGCAAAAGGTAAGAAGGATTGCTTGTCGTAGTGTGGTGGTGCTCCAAGTATTGTGCGACAGCAACAACTCAACACACTCGCGGCAGTTAAGACCTTGCGGACATTACCGCAATTTGGGGTCCAGAAATTTGAAATCGCTCAGGCAACAGAAACATGACTTCTCCGCTTCGGCGCACGGCACTCGGACAAATACACCCCAGGTACTCGCGACGCTATATTGCATCTCCTGTCTCCCGAGTTTCCCCTCCATTGATCATTTTTGCTTCTCATGGGAGAAACAGGTGTCTGAATTTCTGGCTGATAGAGCGTCTGCTTTCCTGAAAGATTGGGGCTATTCACGCTTCATGGAATTAACCGGAATGTTGTTGTGTGTATTAATTATTGTTCCATCGGCCGATGCTGTTGATGCCCTCAAAACTTGTGCCTGCTTATTGAAGGAATGCAGGTACACGTCACGTGCCATTTGATTTTCAGCACGCCAGATTTCCTCCACCTGGCTCAGTGACAGAGTTTAACCATAAATTTTCATGTCTGTAGGATAGAACTGGCCAGGTGTATATCGAATCCGTCGTGTGCTGCCAACATTGCTTGTCTCCAGACTTGCAATAATCGACCCGATGAGACCGAATGCCAAGTTAGTCCTTCCCGTGCCTTTATGGATTTTATGCCAACCCTTTTTTTCATTCCCTTCTTAACTTTCCAGATAAAATGCGGGGACGTGTTCGAAAACAATGTGGTTGATGAATTCAACGAGTGTGCAGTCTCGAGGAAGAAATGCGTGCCGACGAAATCTGATGTCGGAGAATTTCCTGCTCCAAATCCTGATGTCCTTGTTAAGAGCTTTAACATTGGAGATTTCAGTGGGAAGTGGTTCATCAGCGCCGGCTTAAATCCTTCCTTTGATACTTTTGACTGCCAATTGCATGATTTTCACACGGAATCCGACAAACTTGTTGGTAATTTATCATGGAGAGTACAGACTCTAGATGGCGGTTTTCTTACTCGGTCAGCTGTCCAGAGATTTGTACAAGATCCTTCTCAGCCTGGGATACTCTACAATCACGATAATGAGTACCTTCACTATCAGGATGACTGGTAACTCCTTGCTCAAAAGCAAACATATCTGCAATTCTGAAATTTCAGTAGAATAGCATAGCAAAAGTTTCGTTACTTTGCGGCCACTTTCCCTTTCGAAGTCAATTTCTTCAATCGCCCCTTAAAATCTGTATGCATGTGTGTGTATTTAAAATTTGCGTGCACGAGAGTTTGGGTGACACGCAAGGCGTGAACATGAAATGCAGGTATATCATATCATCCAGGATTGAGAAGAAACAAGACGATTATATATTTGTTTACTACAGAGGGAGGAACGATGCATGGGACGGGTACGGAGGCGCGGTGGTGTATACAAGGAGTGCAGTTTTGCCGGAAAGTATAGTTCCGGAACTTGAGAGAGCAGCAAAAAGCGTGGGAAGGGAGTTTGGCAAGTTCAGGAGAACGGATAACAGGTGCGGGCCGGAGCCTTCGTTGGTTGAGAGATTGGAGAAGAAAGTGGAGGAAGGAGAGGAGACAATCGCGAGGGAAGTGGAGCAATTGGAAGGGGAGGTGGAGAGGGTGGGTAAGACGGAGATGACCTTGTTGCAGAGGCTAGCCGAAGGGTTCAAAGTGCTTCGGGAAGACGAGGAAAATTTCTTGAGGGGCCTAACCAACGAAGAAATGAACTTGCTCAACCAGCTTGAAATGGAAGCCACTCAAGTAGAGGACCTCTTCGGACGTGCCTTGCCGCTCAGGAAACTCAGATGACTCCCCCAAACAAAGCCACCCAACCCTTCATTTTCATTGTTTATGCTGCCCATTGTTTCTTTTTTCATGATACTAATTACATGTGAATATTTGCTACTATAGTCTTCCAATATTATTCCAGTACCCCCGCCCAACAAATTACATGTTAGCGTGGAAATTGATGCTAATCACTGCAGAATATAAACTACTTTCGACTGATAATACCACGCTGGAATATTAGTTTGCATCAAGTCAGGAGGGTGAAAGCAATTGATACCAATTACATGTGTAGAGCTTATCACAATTAAAAGGTGGACTCCATATTTATCTCCTCACTTGAGAAATTGAGGGAGATCCTGGTCCAATTGAATTCAAAACCAGCCGTCATCCCAAGTAATGTACACAGTTTAGAAAGTGATCCCATATCAGTCTTAGCTCCTGTTCAAGCATCTTTGAGATCAAACTGATATCAACTTTTTCCACCTGTTGCAAACAGAAGATGCGAAATGTCAGTAAAATGCTTCCCAGCTAGTATTAAATATTCCTTTATGACAGGTCAATAACCTGTTTATACGCTCTACTTTAGCAATTCACTCCAAAAAAATGTTTTACTACTTTGTAACTTCTATACAGAGGCATATTGCTGTGTGTAGGACACATGCTCAATTACTCTCCACGGGTTTGCCTCGGTCCTATAAGATTTAGGATACAACTGCAGCAGCAACTCTTTTCTTAGACAATGTAGACACCGACCTAAACTTTCACTAGAAGATAAGGGCTTGAACCTCAAAACATTCTTATCAGGAGGAAGAAGAAAAGTCAATATGTCAATTGCAAAGTGACATTAAGCAATTCCAGAGAAATGTGCAACTAGTAATCACCATGTTCCAGAAAGTTATAGGAAATTCAATCATAGATGTGATGCTTATACTTTATTTCCTCTCATTCTAGTTGAAATCTCGAAATAATACGTAAAACTAAACAATTGGACATTATGGTAAGCTCGCAGCCTAACATTTATTTTATATACTGAACTGCATATTATCATAACAGCTCATAGCACATGCGTGGTTTGAGATTATACTTAGCTAAAGTCCCCAATCTAAAGTCTTCCTCTCATATCTCAATTCTTAAATAAACTTTCAATTCAACCAATCTCCCACGAATTTAACTTCCAATTCTCGTTAACAGAGATCATTAGATTGTATATCTTGTCCAACGTTCCTACATTAATTTAGTGGACTAAATCCTTGCATATAAAACGGTTATAAACATTAAAGCACTCAAATAATGCTAAAACAGTAAAAGTAGGTGGTTTCTTAAAATGTGAAGAATAAAAACCAGACCTTTTGTCTTCTACTAATGTTCCTTTCTTTTATCATCTAATTCTCAACATAAACTATTATTACCTGTGATTCCGAGACAATTCCTTTCAGCTTTAAGTAAGCTTCAGAAGCAGTTTCACCAGTTGATATCCGAAAATCAAATCGATCAGCATGTCTCACCTTCAGCCTTAGCGATGGAGTTCTGTAAGCTTTAGTTATAGTGTGCCAGACCCCAACCACAGAAAATCTATCTCCGGAAGATGTTTTCCCTAGGGTCCATCTTAATCCGCCCTTCACATTTGGATCTAGAATGGCAGAATGAATCAGGTCTTGAATGCATTGCATTTCATCATCCTGATATGGAGTGAACACATGCAATTGCATCAGGGATTTACGAGTTTTTTTTTAGCTTAATCATTACACTTACAAATTCAAGGTTTCAACGCAATAAACATGATATAATGAGACAAGAAAAAACAGGTGTTTTTCTTCGAGGATTCTCCACTTAAAATCTTAAAAAGGATCTATTTTCCTCTTGTATTCCGTTTTTTGTTTGTTATATTACCAGGGTACCTCTACTCCCAGCCCCACGCTGTCATGACCATTTGGGATAGCCTCATATGGCTATTTTCCTCTTGTATCTTTTAGAATTGCAAAAGAAAAATTATCGAGGGTTGAAAATTACCAAAAAGAAGAAGAAGAAGAACATAAAATATAGACTGCAGCAAATATGTAATTGCAGAGGTATGCAATGAGAAAGCAACTTACTCTCAAAGCAGTAAGAATTCTTTTGGAGCACAACATTAGCCTCAAATCAAGATTCTTACTAAGAGACGATACATCAGTAACCATGTGGCGTACTTGATTCAATTCAATCTACAATAAGAATGCTTATATATCAACAGACATGTGGAGAAAGAGTTTAGTCAAAATAAAATGCCAGGGAAAATAATACATATGAAAAACGAAACTCAAGAAAATGACCATTTTAAATTAACAATAAGCTATTATGTAAGAAATAGTTGCATCTGGTCTTTTAACGATTAGAAATAGTTGAATCACAAAACTTGCCTTATACATTTGAAGCCTTTTGTGTTCTTCTATTACGCGGCACTTGCAAGAAATAGTTGCATCTGGTCGGTTGGCATCAGACAACTATTTAACATGAGAAAGAAATTACAAGATTCAGTAGCCAAGTTGATCTGAATTGATCATGAGAAGAATTCCATAGGCAAAGCAAAGAACGAAAGGATACCTTCACATGGAACACATCTTTCTCCTCTTCAAAATCAAATCCAATCTTTGGTGAGTCTTCACTGGTAAGTTTTTCCATGTACAAAGTAGGAATATTTGTGTAAAATGATCTTTTTAAATGTCCCAATTTAATCCCAGCAGCAAAACCTTTTTGCATTGCTTCTTGCGCAGCGAAAGGTCTCCTGCACAATATCAATACGTACTGTAATATTTTCCCTCTAGCCTCCGTCCTATGACTAGACTAATAGGAAAAGTATGTCCGTTACTTTTTAGCAACTACAAATCTGTGTACCAATATTGTTTCCTAAGTTCTATGCTTAGGTGACAGGAAGGTGAAATTGAAACTTATGAAGCACTCAGTTCATTCAATGAACTGAATACTCCAATCGTGGTCTAGGATAGATGGGTTAAGAACGTATTCACAATGTCTGACAACCAAGAACTATTCTGCAAAACAGATAAAGAGGCTGCCATGATCAACTGCGGCCACGAAGAAAATTACCACCAAAACTAACAGGAGGCATATGAGAATGAAGCAATCATGGGCAGTTAATTGGAAGAGTGATAGTTTACCCATGGAAGAGAACCTTGCCAAATCTGGCCACTAATGTTGGCTTAACTTCTTCAGAAGGTGGGACCTGCATCTGACTTCTCACATTTTCAAAAGAAGAAAGTAGATCCTGAAGCACATTTTCCGCAATGATTTCCGCAGGGCTTCTCGTGCATGTAACTGCCGAGTCTGGGGAAAAAAAAGAAAAGAAGAAAAAGTTGGGATTTTGAGCACGAGCCGAGCAAGAATGCAGAGAGTATGAATGGAGTGGAATCCACGTCTAACCTCCAGTGAGCTGACAACTTTGTACTAAAACAAGGGGTTTTTCTCCAATTTTGCGCTCAATGGATTCCAACGAAACGGGGCGAAGTTGAACAGAAGGGGGAAGCTGGCTGTTATCATCCAGGCCTACCGCAAACCATCTAGATATGGCCTTCTCTGCGTATATAATCTTCCCGCTTCTCGTAGCATAAGAGTTCTGAGGATTTAAACTCGGATTTTTCTTTAAGTGAGGAGGGAGCAGCTGGGGTGACGGTAATTGGGCATCCTTGTCCTTGTCCTTATTGTGGCGCTTGTGCGGAGGTACGTAAGCCATAGCGAAGAAGAAGAAGAAGAAGAAGAAGGGGGAAACGAAGTTATAGAACCCAGCCACCAGTAATTTCTCGAATTGATCAGGAAGAAGGATTTCCTACAGGTAACGAAATGGTCGAGACGAAGGCGAGAAAGCCACAGGCAGAGTGAGGAATTGGGAACCGGATCCCCTCAGCCGCGAAATCCCTCAGCGTCCCTCACCGCCAAATCTGATTCGCTCAAACGGTCAAAATCTCACCAGTACACACTTCACATGGTTCTTAAAAATACATGTAATTTAAAATATATTTTGAAATATGATGCAGTAACGCTCGAGTTAGATTTTGACTTATTTATATAAATAGGTTTAATTTTAAATTTAAGCATAGTTTTTTTTTCATTTAAACAAACAAGGTTAAAATTAAAACGTGACAGATATATGTTTTTGCAAGTCTATTTATTTATTTTAATATAATCATCTTTTTTGTTAAATAAGCTCGGTTTGGTTTAAAGAAACATATAATTTGTCTTGTTTAAATCTTGGCTTGATCTGTTTAAAAAAAATTATGCTTAAATTTATAATTAAGTTTAGTCTATTTAGTCAAAATTTAGCTTAAATTTATTTTTTATTATTTAAAAATATATTGTTTGCATGATAAGATTTTATCATTTGAATGGACCAGACTAGGCTATTGAAGATTCTCATCCCTGAAAGGATCCTGATCTGAGGAATTGAGGATGCTCTTGCTTTGCATTCCTTCCACTTTGGCAATTTCCAAGAGAACAAATGCAACATCAAATTGAAATTAGAATTGAGAACCTCCCATCCATACATTGCAATCAACTAGCAAAAGGCATCCATCTAAAAAAACAAATCAAATCCAGGCAAACCATTTTGGTCACAAAACTCCCAACTCATGCTCTTTCAAATGACTCAGTGAATAATAATTGGCTCTATCTATAATATCGGCTCCAAGTTGATGAAAGTTGGCCCCTCACATGGATTCTCTCTCACATTTCACACGAAGATCTTAAAGAAGATATGTTTCACTGATCTTGTTGCCATTTTAGAAAGACCACGGTTTTTTTCCATTAAGCAATAATCTTTCATATTGGGTAATATACAAACCCATCTGTAGATGCATATCTATCGCCATCATTTGATCACTCTTCTCTTACCTCTATTATTCTTCAATTCATGGCTACGATTTTTGCATTCTCCATTATTGCCCTCCACTATCCCCTAATTTTTGCGTTCTCTTTACAATGAAATTAGCATCTGTCCTTCATTGGCTGCTAAGAAAGGATAGTGAAGAACGCATTTATTTCCCAAGCTATTAATTACTTTTCCACCTACTTCATGTCTTTTCAATGAAGGGGAGGAAAGAGTTCATCTTAATAAGTTGTTTGAGTTCCCATCTCTCATATGTTACCAAAAATTGTTTGTCTTAAAAGATTTGGTTTAAGGGTGTTGCCTAGTTAGATTTGCTAATGACCCTTAAACTTGATGGAAACTAGCTATCCGGTAAAATTACTCAAGAAATTAGGTTGCTTACTGAAATTAAATCTTTCAATACTGCTAACAATTTTTTATCTAGGGTAGTACCTTGCCTATCTTTACCAGAAGTCCTTATTGTTAGCTTGAGTTATGCCTATAATAGTGGTCTTTATGGACATATGCTATAACCTTGTAAAAAGAAATCTTTTGATAAATCATTTTGGTATAGTTTTGCTATTACTTATGGTTGTTCAGCAACTTCAGTCATTCTCTTTCATGTACTATTGCCAATCTTGGAGAGACTTGAAGAGGAGGAGGAGAGATATATTCTTTTAAAAGAGACAGAATAATCAACCTCATACTATAGAAGTTATTGAGTTGCGGCCATTGGCATTACTAGAGCAAGGAACCAAAGAGGTAATCTCCATCTCTCTTCACTCCCTTTTGTTGTGTTCATGCTCAAGTATCGATTTCATTAACAATTATTATGTTCTAATAAGATTCTAATAATATTTTATGTTGAAAGGATTAGTAGGTAGATTGAGCATTTTTCTTATTTTGAATGATGCTAATTAATTTTTTAGCCAATGGTTTAAAATGTGACATTTAACTTTTGTGATATGTTCTTTTACCATTAAACCACTTTCTTCTATTTTTATAAATATAAGCAATAGAATATTCATGAGAATGTTAAAACAATGAACAATTCCATTGTGAGAAGTTCAAAAGTTTGTTCATTTATATCTTGAATGGTCATGTGGCTAATTATTAATAAGTTGTTGAGGAACTAGAATATAGTTTTCTCCACCAATTTATCGAGAAGAATAACCTAGGGATACCTCAGAGATTTGAGAATAAGGAAAACTATGGTCCAAGAGTGAGTCATGTGATCTTTGGCTGGGTCACATCTCACGATTGATGAGCTTGGGTAGTCTACAAATGGACAAAGCTCTATTTAGTGTTATTGCCCATGATTTTAGTTGAAGGAAATAAGGAGGGTATAAAGTTGGTTGATCATTGTTTATGTAAACTTATGACATGTCACATGATTATGATGTGGCAAATCGCATGGATAACGGGTCATAGTCATATGTCTAAATGTATTGTGATAATGCACCTAATATATGTGAGATGAAAATGGGTTAAATGTATAATGTGAAGTTTTGATATGTGGTTAAATATATTTTAAGAATTTAGTTTTATATGCATGTGTTAATTTACAATTGATATATAACTGTATAAAGTAGGTATAATGTTAGTTACTAAATGGCTAGACTCACCTATTTCATTTAACACTTTATAGACTTTAGCTTTGGTGCTGATAGGGAGAAGGCTTAAGAGGCTAAGAATTAGTTCATTCCTACTGTATGCCTCTAGAATTATATTGATTTTTATGCAATAGAATATTTTGCCAATTCTAGGTGGCATACTATCGCACTTGCATTATTTTATTGTAGCAATTATTCAAAATATATTTTAAACCCTGAATAATTGAGTATGATGAGAAACATATGTTGATAATATCAAAATACTAATGTAAGTATAGAAATGATGTTTTAAACATGTCATAATTAATTTATGAGTAAATGCAATGAAATTACCTCCTTTTTTGTTTTTGATGAAAAAGGGGTTAATGAGTGATTCTGTGTTAAATTGGTAATTAGATGTACGTGATGTTTTTTACTAGTAATCCTAGGTTCAATGAACATGATCTAAGTGTTAGGAAAAGCTTTTGACACTTATTTTAGGTTTTAGACACCCTTTCTTGCGAAAAATTATGAAAAGTGGTCAAAATGGGTTTAAGTATCCAACTTCTTGTAATGACTTGTCTTAAAAGTAAAACTCATGCCATTAGCTGGTCTATAAAATGAGTTTTTGTAGATACATAAATCAGGTTATTTGAATGTTGAATAGAGAATTTGGACGCATTGGCAGTTTCTCAATTTTGCTATCAAAAGCGTGCAACATGCCACACACATGGGCACCTGAGCCACTACACATGGCATAGAGAGCAATACACCACAGTGCAACATGCACAAGCCACGACACATTGCTCTATTCTATAGCAAATGAGTTGTTTATTTGTTTTCATTCTTTTTCACTTCTCTGAAGTACCTCATACTTTAGCAACTTGTTTTTACTTTAATTGATAAGTCAATGAATGATTTGAACATGTTTTAACTTTAAAAAACTTAAGATCCCTTGATTTAGAATAAAACTTGGTAATCTCTTTTATAGGTTAATATTTTGATTACCATAAGTTTTATTGGTTATTTGTGGTTAGTAGTGAGGGATTTTACAATATACATGGGACAATGCATTATGATTGGGAGAGTTGTAATGAAAGAATGATTAGAGAAGGAATATCTCTTACAAGACTAGTTAGATTGATTTCATTATGTATTAGATGAATTGATACATATAGTTTATATGTACATTTCATATTTTCTATGATCACTGAAGTATTTTCAATTAAAATTGTAAAAAATAGTTGTAAAATATTTGTAAGGAAGTTGTAAAATTAGGTATTTCAATTACAAATTACTGGAACAATCTCTTAGAATAATAACTTGGTTACTTTCAAGTTTAAAAATTCAAAGTATCTCCAATTAAAATTGTGAAAAGTAATTGCAAAGTATTTGTAAGAAAGTTGTAAAAGTGGGTATTTCAATCACAAACTACTAGAGTGATCTCCTAAAATAATAACTTGGTTGCTTTACAAATTTAAAAATTTAACTTGTTTTCAATTAAAATTACTAAAAGTAATTGCAAAGTATTTGTAAGAAAGTTGAAAAAGTGGGTATTTTAATCACAAATTACTAGAGCGATCTTCTAAAATAATAACTTAGTTGCTTCGTAAATTCAAAAATTCAATGTGTTTTCAATTAAAAATTGTGAAAAATGGTTGCAAAATATTTATAAGGAAGTTGCAAAATTGAGTATTTCAATTACAAATTATTGGAACGATCTTTTAAAATAATAACTTGGTTGCTTTGCAAGTTTAAAAATTCAACAATGTGTTTTCAATTAAAATTGCAAAAATTATTTGCAAAGTATTTGTAAAGAAGATGCAAAAGTGGATATTTTAGTTGCAAATTACTAGAGTGATCTCCTAGAATAATTACTCGATTACTTTGTAAGTTTAAAAATTCAACATGTTTTCAATTAAAACTGTAAAAAATAGTTGCAAAGTACTTGTAAAAAAGTTGCAAAATTGATGTTTCAATTACAAATTACTAGAGTGATCTTCTAAAATAATAACTTAGTTTCTTTGCAAGTTCAAAAATTCAATGTATTTTCAATTAAAATTGTAAAAAGTAGTTGCAAAGTATTTGTAAAGAAGATGCAAAAGTAGGTATTTCAATTGTAAATTACTAGAACGATCTCCTAAAATAATTACTCGGTTTCTTTGCAAGTTCAAAATTCAACATGTTTCCAATCAAAATTGCGAAAAGTAATTACAAAGTATTTGTAAGGAAGTTACAAAATTAGGTATTTCAATTGCAATTATTGGAGCTATTTTATAGAACAATAACTTGGTTCCTTTACAAGTTCAAGAATTTAGTAAAATGTTTCCACTTAAAATTTTAAAAATAAGTCACAAATTTATCCCAAAGAAGTTATAAAATTAGACATTTTATTTACAAATTACCGATGCTATCTCCTAGAATAATAACTTGTTTTCTTTACAAGTGCAAGAATTCAATAGTTTTTTTACTTAAAATTTGAAAAGGAGTTGCAAATTCATCTTAA